GGCCCTTGCCCTTTGCATAATTCCAGGGACCATGCATTTTCCGCAAAAATGCTTCACCATCTCTTCGCTTTATAATTGATGTACTGTTGTTACTGCATATATTATCTAATTATCTAATAAAACATATAAATCTTTATTTACACTGTAAAAATCAAATCACGAATACTATACTTGCTTCAACCCTTGCTATTTTTGGTCTATTTATATGTTTTTGGCCACAAAATAGACTGTCTATTTTATGAAAAACTACGTCATTGTACAAAATAATTCTAGGATGTTTTACATCCAACTAACTAACTACCTTTTAGGAGGTCTTTAGACTGAACTGGTGTATATTTGGATAAAATTTGCACTTAACGATCTTTAAAACACGTGACCGTAAATTTTTTATTGCATTTTTGGAATATTAATATTTTTTCTCGAAATTGTCGTCGTGGCACAAAAAGTTCCAGCGACTAAGTGACTCGCACTATAACTGCAAGAGAATCAAAGAGCGAATCACTATATATCTGAATTAAAATAAAAATCAACAGTTAATCTTTTTTCAAAAGCAATGAGATTGACTATAATAAATAAAATATAATGTACAAAAGTCCAGTTATTAATTAGGTTCATATCCATGATATATATAGAAATTCACAAAATGTTAAAGATACATTTCACTGTTATTATTGAATAATAATTAATATGAATGATATTAACAGTAAAATATATATTAGTATATTAATTAATTAATGAAAATATCAGTAGAGCCATTATCAGCAAAAAAAAACATCACATTATTTACCAGCTTCATTTGTGACTGATCAAATTTTTACTGGCTCTTCTTGATCGTTATTATCACTTTTGAGGTGAATCTATGTTCAACTACTCTTTTGTCTGTTTGGTTTGAAGACAAACTAGCCATGTTTCTCGTGAATAAAATAAATTATTGGTATATTTAAACACCTGTTTGCCATCATCAGATCAATGGTCGACAATTAATTCATTATTCACATTTGATTTAGGATCGTATGAAGCGTCCAGCCTTCTTTAGTTTCTTGAGAGTTTTTAGGATTTTTAATCACAAATTAATATATTTTGCATAATTGATGAGACAAAATTCTATCCAGATATTGTTCCATTAATGACAAAAATAATGATATTAATATACAATATTTACAAAAAAAAACCATGCTTTTCTTTATTACAACATAAAGGGACAATGATTCAGGTATGAAATATGTTTAACTCTATTTTATCAATCAAATGTTTTTTTTCTGCTAAATATGTATAAATTTGAGGCATTGATGATAACGACAAAACTCACAGGTTTTTCCTAAAACACTAAATC